ATTAAACCAGCATTCTTCAATGGCTGTTGAAATGTTCAGACACAATACGTATAGATTATGGAATCCATTTTCCTATATTTTTTCTTTTAATTGTTAAGAATTTAAAAAAAAAAAAGAATTCTCCAATGTAAAGTCAAGTTTCCGCCTTTTATATACTCTCTACATATACCCAAGTTTGATCGAATTTTAATATGATGACAAATAATGAAAATATTATACCTACATTTTATTGTTTTAAAAATATGTTGAATTTAAGAGACGTATGAATAATGCCTAAAATTAATTTGTTAGAAATTTTATTTGATAGAATTTAACCCTTAACTGGCACCATGGGTCCAGTAGACCCGAGCATTTTTTCAAGCTCAAATTAACCCTTAACTGGCACAATTCTGCGTTTGAACGTAAATGGCACAACAGGTCTGCTGGACCCGACATATATTGAAACGTGTATTGTACAGCCGGTATTAAATATTTTTGCACAAAAATTTAATCTGAGGTAGCTTATCATGTTTTTTTTTTAAATGTAATTAGTTTTACAGGGATTAATTTATTTTAAGTTAGTTACAAAAATTGTGAAAAATTAAAACGCAAAATTGCCTGTTTTTACACGGAGAGAAATAGATGGTACAGGGTACTATCTACACTTTAAATCTGAATCAGTGAAAATTTCACTGAATTCAAATCAGTGGCTCAGTTTTCTTTAATTCGCGAGTTAAATTTCACTGAGAATCAGTGATTTTTACTGATTCCCAGTGATCTTACATATACGGACAGCTATCTAGATTCTATCAGTTACAATCCAGATTGTACGCAGTAACGTCTTGATTGTAGTGGGTAACATAACCATACTTTTTGTAACATCTTTGATAGTACTAAGTAGCATAATGATAGTACTGGATACCATCTACTTTTTACCATCTTAAGATCATAAATTCTTACCATCTATTTCTCTCCGTGTACTTAAAAATTTATGAGTTCTTTAAATTTAAATATTATGACTTAAAAATTTAAGGTTATTCTTTTGATTTATTTTGCAGAATAAAATGTGACTTTTTAGGTTAAAATTAAAAATTTATAATTATTAATGTTTGAAGCTAATTTATTCTTTTGTATCTACACGGAGAGAAATAGATGGTACGGGGTACTATCTAGATAGTACCAGGTATTTGATCTTACATATATGGACAGCTATCTAAATTCTATCAGTTACAATTCAGATTGTACGGAGTAACGTCTTGATTGTAGTGGGTAACATTACCATATTATTTGTATAACATCTTTGATAGTACCGAGTAGCATATAATAATGGTACACAGTAAACTTAGTTGTATCTTTTTCTATTGCAACGTTTTGATGTACATAAGTTATATCAAAAAGAGATCGTTTTGTGTATCATTTTTAGAAATGATACACGAAATGGTCTCATTTTTTGATGCAAAAAATTTAATCAATTTCTATCAATCATGGCCGAATTGAATCGACTCAAAATTAAACGAATTTTTTTCAGATATTTTGGTAATAGTACAATTGCGAAGACCATTTCACTATTTAATTTGAAAATGAAAATAACAGAAAATCAAAGACAATGTGCAATTCGATAATTAAAAAGTTACAGCTTATAAACATAACCTAAAATGCATGAGAAAAAATTTGTCGATAAAATCAATATAGCCGACCTTTTTAGAAGGTAGATGGCAGCACTCATTTATTTTCTTTCTTTAAATTTTTTCTGAATCGTTTTTATAAAAAGCAAAACTGCCATCTACCTTCTAAAAAGCTCGGCTATATTGATTTTATCGACAAATTTTTTCTCATGCATTTTAGGTTATGTTTATAAGCTGTCACTTTTTAATTATCGAATTGCACATTGTCTTTGATTTTCTGTTATTTTCATTTTCAAATTAAATAGTGAAATGGTCTCCGCAATTGTACTATTACCAAAATATCTGAAAAAAATTCGTTTAATTTTGAGTCGATTCAATTCGGCCATGATTGATATAAATTGATTAAATTTTTTGCATCAAAAAATGAGACCGTTTCGTGTATCATTTCTAAAAATGATACACAAAACGATCTCTTTTTGATATAACTTATGTTCATCAAAACGTTGCAAAGATTTGATGCAATTTTTGGTCTCAATTTGATACTTTTAGGAAAACTGTGTATACCGGAAACCATCTACTTTTAACCATCTTAAGATCATAAGATCCCGAGTCGAAATTTAGACTCTCTATAAGTTCTCTAAAAACCTCCTTTTATCCTCCTTTTATTCTCTCCAACACTTTCATACCCTCTTTTCGTCCTCGAATTTGCAAAAGTGGAAATATCTGCTATATTGAAGGCTGAAAGGAGGGTTTAAAGATGACTAGAGAGGCGTAAAAGAGGTTAAAAAAACAAAAATAAAATTAAAAATATGTAAAAATTGGATTTTTTTTCTTATGGACATTATTTATTGACCCTATTGAAGATATATTTATTGGTCTTTGTCGTAATACTATAAAACTTTTAGGAGGAATGAAACTTGGAAAAATTCAAATTAAGAAAAAATTCCAAGACCTCTTTTCAACCTCTAAACATGCAGATTTGGAAATAAGCGCATGATTTCAGGCTGAAAAGAGGCTGAGAAAATCGAGGATGAAAAGAGGGGAAATTTTCGACTCGGGATCTTACCATCTAATTCTCTCCGTGGAACTAAGTTGCATCAAAAAACTTACAAAATTACTAAGAATATGTCAAACTAATATATTAAAATTAAAGCTGTGCAAAAGTTCGAAATTTGTATGGGCTCGGATCGAATATTCGATTCGAGCCCATGTTAATTCTTATGGAGCGATTCGAATTTTAAAAACTTGCACAGCTCTAATTAAAATATAAAAAATATTCAAAAGTTATACATTCAATTAATTTGTGCTCGAAAAAATGCTTAGGTCTACTGGACCCATGGTGCCATTTCGCCCTATGATTTTCAAATATTAGAAATTATTAATCTAACTGATGTATAATAAATAATTAAATAAATGATAAATTTTTAATATATAATAATAATAATATATTTTAATTTTTGTCCAATAAAAATGTACTTTTAGGTAAATTTTGTTAATATTCGAAAAATAATAATCAAATCTCGTGGAAATTTTCATTATTCTTATAACCATATAGATTAATGTTTCAAGTGTAAAAGGGGTTCTATTTATAAGGATCATAACTTGAATAGTTTTGCTACAGCTCTTGCCATTAAAATCCCAATCCAATGTATAAAACATTCACAAACTTCCAAAGCATCTTAAAACTTATCACTCCTTAAAAAATCTATATAATTTATTATGCTTTTAAAAAAGTTTATTTTCTCAATGAAAGTTCTTAAATGATTTATTTTATGTTTTCACATTTAATTACATTAACCATATAATTATTATATCACAAGAAGTATTGTATTTTTAACTTTCATATTATTATTATTATTTATATTAATTTGAAGAACATTTATTATTATTAATTATTATTATTATTATTGTTATTAATATATAGATTAATATTATTATTTATATTTTTCTTTTTTACACAAAAAAATTTTTGTTCCAACATTTTTTGAGCATTTTTTAATTTAAATTAATAAACAAAATTTTTATTTTTTAATATTTTGTATTAATTCTATAATTGTTAATTTTAAAAATACATCTTAGAGTTGCTCTTTCACTTCGAGAAAAATATTCTTCATTTGAGAGGAAAAATCCTTTTCTAGAATCCCCTAAAATCTTTTCCTTGAAATAAAATTATTACATACTAATTTTTCTCTCATTTTAAGAGGATAGAAATTATAGAATATATTGCAGTAAAAAAAGTATAGGACGCATGATTATTTTCTAAAAATTATTAGTTAGAATTTTCATTTTATGGAATTTCATTTGTCATAATTGCAGAATTTTCATCAAAACGATTTTCTATATTACAGAATTTTTATATAACCGAAAATTCACTTCACAGAATTTCTATTTTTTCTAATTTTTATTTGTCAGAATTTTTATTTTCTCGAATTTTCATTTAACATAATAGACATTTTAAAGAATTTTTATTGAGTAGAATTTCATTGCATAAAATTTTCTTTCAAATGAATTTTCATTTTTTCGAATTATTATTTAATATAATTTCCATATAACCGATTTTTCATACTACAGAAATGTTACTTAACCGAAAAATCATTTAACAGAATTTCTAATTGATAGAATTTTCATTTGTCCGAAATTGCAAGTGGCCAAACAAATAATCGACAGAATGATTTCGGCGCGATTTTTAAAATCAACCAATCACAATTTTATGGATAATTTTTAACTGGTTGATTTTAAAAATCGCGCCGAAATCATTCTGTCGATTATTTGTTTGGCCACTTGCAATTTCGGACAAATGAAAATTCTATCAATTAGAAATTCTGTTAAATGATTTTTCGGTTAAGTAACATTTCTGTAGTATGAAAAATCGGTTATATGGAAATTATATTAAATAATAATTCGAAAAAATGAAAATTCATTTGAAAGAAAATTTTATGCAATGAAATTCTACTCAATAAAAATTCTTTAAAATGTCTATTATGTTAAATGAAAATTCGAGAAAATAAAAATTCTGACAAATAAAAATTAGAAAAAATAGAAATTCTGTGAAGTGAATTTTCGGTTATATAAAAATTCTGTAATATAGAAAATCGTTTTGATGAAAATTCTGCAAAATACTAATTCGAACAAATAAAAATTTGTCTCAAAAATAATTATGACAAATGAAATTCCATAAAATGAAAACTCTAACTTTATGATATTTAGAACATAATCATGCGTCCCAAAAGTTGCATAAAAATGAGAAGAATACTCTCAATTGAAAAATATATTTATTTTCAGTGTTAACGTTTATAATTTTTAATTGAAAATACATGTTTTTTTTTGAAAGAATTTAACGAATTCATTGAAATGAGATAAGAAGAGGCAAATTTTATTTTTATATTTTATTTAAAGGTAAATTTAGCTGATGAATTTGACATTCTTCAAATTGTGGGTGAAGGTTGGTTTGGAAAGATTTTATTGACTGATCATCGTAGTACTCAAACGGAAATGGTTTTAAAAGCATTACCAAAGGCTTATACAAGTATTTCCGATTTTTTTCGAGAATTTCATTATGGACTTCATCTATCGGCACATAGAAATATTATCACCACTTATGATATTGCATTCGAAACGGCTGGTTTTTATGTCTTCAGTCAAGAATATGCACCACTTGGTAAGAGAAAATATTTTATTTCATGCCAAAATGTCAATACAATGTTGTTTGAGCTAATAATAATTTTGCGTGCCAAGCAAAATTCTTGATTATATAGTTATATACCACATGTTAAATTAATTTATTAACTTATTTCAATATAAATGCATGAATGAAAAAATATTACTTCGTTAAAGTTCACAATTTTTACGATCAACGTGATTTAGAAAAAAAAATTATTATTAAAAAAAATTTCATTCTTTCTATATTTCATTAAATTATTATTTATTATAAATTATTTTTCTATGCAAATTATAATTTTTTGTTTAAAACAATTTTTCTGTCCTTTTTTGCTTATATAGATTTTATTTTTCTTGTCTCGTGTTATTTTTTTTTTTTTTCAAATGGAAATTGAAAATATTGAGGAATTATTTTTTTTTTCTCAGGGGATCTTACGTCAAACGTGACGGAAACTGGTCTTGGGGAATTACATGCTAAAAGAGTAGCGAGACAATTGGCTGCTGCAGTTCATCATATTCACTGTAGAGAATTGGTCCATCGGGATATTAAACTCGACAATATACTTATTTTTAAGAGTGACTTTTCCAGAATTAAACTTTGCGATTTCGGCGAAACACGACGAGGAAATACAGTTGTTCGTAGACATAACGAATGGTTGCCTTATTCACCACCGGAAGTGTTGCAGTTGGACACTGACGAAACATACAGGTATATAAATAATAAATATATACTTATAAAGATGCAATAAAATTAATGCATCTTTGGCACAAAATATTCATCATATTTTTACAATATATAATTCATTATATTAAAAAAATATTTTTAAACAATTTTATAAATAACAAATTTATTTAAAAATATTTTTTAAACACATTTGTTAAAAATATTTACAAAAAAAAATTAATTTACAAATTTTTATAATTTATTTTTTCATGAGAGATTTTGAATTTTTTTAAAGGGGGGGGGGGGAAATGAAATTTTCACAATTCTAAAAATTGTATTAAATTTTATAGAGCACTTACGGCTCATGATGTTTGGCAATTTGGCATAGTACTTTTCGTTTGTTTGACTGGTTGTCTTCCATGGCAGAAAGCGGCAACTGACGATCCTAGATATACTAGATACTTAAACTGGCATTCAGCTACTCTTAATATTGCCAAGAAACCAAAATTGTTTCAACTAATTAGTTCGCGAGCGCAAAGGTATGCTGTTTATTTTACTACGTTTTACATATAGCATATAATATATTGCATCAACTACAAATATAACAATAACTTTTCTTTTTTACTGATGATATTACAAGAATATATTTTGTAAATACTGTAAATATATTTTTTTTCGATCTTTATAGAAAAAAAAAGGTTTACGTATTTTTTTATTTTTTTTATAACTGCTCAAATTTTGGAGTCTAAGAATTTTTTAAAATCTGAATTTTTCGAGTTTTTTTTTTAAATACACCTAATTTCAATGAAATTTAAGTCTAAAAGTATTAAATTTAGGAATAATGACCAAGATACAAAAAAGTATTATAGGTTTTCATTGACTTTCAAAATATTTTAAAGAAAAATTATCTGAAAGTATTTTTTTTAATCAATCAAATTCCTTCTATATTCGAAAAATTTATTTATAGATATTATTTATTATTACACAGACAAAAAAAAAACAAGTGCCCGGGTTTGGAGATCAAAATACCCTACCCCCATGTATTTTGGGCCCCTGAACACGAATCTGAAGTCTGTTTTGCTCCTGCACGTGTACGTTTCTTCCTAACGTCAAAAAACATTTAACATTTTTTGGTGGCATAGGATTTTTTTTTTAAATTGATGGATTTATATGATACTTGGTGTATAGAGGTTTTTGAGGTTGCTGATTACGAATCTGATGTCAGATTTTGAAAATTCAAATAGACGTATTCAATATGGCGGACAATTTTTTTGAAAATTAATGATTTTTTAATTTTTAGAAATTTTTTTTTTAAATTGTTGAATTTTTATGGAATTTGTTACTTGGGGGTTTTAGGAGCCGCTCATTACGAATCTGAAGTTAGATTTTCAAAATTCATAATGGCGGATCCAATATGGCGGACGAAAAAAATGAAAATCATTCGGATCGGCTTGAATATTGTTACTCGGGGGTTTTTGGGGTCGCTAATTAAGAATCTGAAGTCAGTTTTTCAAAATTCAAAATGGCGGATTCAATATGGAGGACGAATTTTTAAAAAATTGTTTGATTTTTATAAAACTTGAAATAAACGTATAAGAAGTATAAGAATAAGTATAAGATTACGCGACCGTCATGTTGAATTATAAAAATCTAACTTCAAATTCTCAATCAGCGACCACAAAAAAACTCTCGGTATCAAGTTTCATAAAAATCCAACAATTTTTTAAAAATTCGTCCTCCATATTGAATCCGACATTTTGAATTTTGAAAACTGACTTCAGATTTTTAAACAGCGACCTCAAAAACCCCCCCAAAAACAATTTTCAAATCGATCCGAATGATTTTTATTTTTTCGTTCGACATATTGGATCCGCCATTTTTAATTTTGAAAAGCTAACTTCAGATTCGTAATGAGCGGCTCCTAAAACCTCCAAGTAACAAATTCCACACAAATTCAATAATTCTTAAAAATAATTAATTTTCAAAAAAAATTTCCGCCATATTGGATCCGACATTTTGAATTTTCAAAATCTGACTTCAAATTCGTAATCAGTGACCTCAAAAACCCCTAAACACCAAGTATCATATAAATTCATCAATTTAAAAAAAAATCCTATACCACCAAAAATGTGAAATGTTTTTTGAGGTTAGAAAGAAACGTACACGTGCAGGAGCAAAACGGACTTTAGATTCGTGTTTAGCGGCTCAAAATACTTGTGGGTAGTGCACTGTGATATCTTAACCAGGGCACTTTTTTTGTGTGGCTGTGTTATTATTATTTATTTATTTTTAGATTAGTCTAGAAAAAGTATTGTCAATTGTTGGAATTTTGCACCGGATTAATATCAAAACATAACCTCAATCTTGGATGTATTCTGTTCAAGATTTGTTATAACATTTCTTGAACAGAGTACATTCATATGATTGAGGTTATGTTTTGATATTATTCCGTTGTAAAATTTCAGCAATTGGCAATACTGTCGCATTTCGTTTCGAAAATTTTTAAATTTAATTGTTTTTTTTTTTAATAACAAAAATTAAAATCAGTTTTTATTTAATATTTTTGATGTAAGTAATGAAGACTTAAACATCATTGATTTGTATTGAAACTTAAGCTTGTGTATTTTCACACTAAACTTCATAAACATAACCTATAATTGCACCAATGACAATTAACTAAAATAAAAAAAAATGTATTGTTTTTCAGACTTTTCAAAAGACTGTTAGACCCTAAGTTGGAAAAACGACCTATTAGTGTGCTTGAAGTCAATAAGTACGTGGAAGATAGATGGTTAGCGAAATTAGGAGCAGAAAAAGCTTTAAACGGTACGCATCGTTATTAAAAGTTCAGGTTAGATATATACCTATATATATATTTTAATTTTTTAATTTTATTTTCATCTAAATCGAATTTAATTTATTACATTTAATTTTAATGAACTAAATTATTTTTATATTTTATGACATTTAAGAGTTGCGATCGATCTCCGAAATTTTTTGTCATTTAATTATCGCCCTATAAAAATGGCACTGAACGTGTAAATGATAAACATTGATTTTAAAATAATTTTTTCTCGGAACGCGGACATATTTTACAAAATCGGCGAAAACACCAAGGATCCTTATCTTATAAATTTCCTAAATCCGAAAGATTGTGCAAATTTATACAAAAACGCGATTGTAAAACTAAAAGTAGGAAATTGATATAATGAGAGCTGCGACATTGAGATCCCTGCATGCTTCTGCCACCTAACGGCTGCAGGACGTAATAAAGCTGTTATTATATTACTTTCCTATTTATCGTTTTACAATCGCGTTTTTGTATAGTTTTGAACAATCTTTCGGATTTAGGAAATTTATAAGATAAGGATCTTTATGGTGTTTTCGTCGATTTTGTAAAAAGTGTCCGTGATTCAAGAAAAAAGTATTTTAAAATCAATGTTTATCATTTTCACGTTCAGTGCCGTTTTTATAGGTCCATAATTAAATGCCAAAAAATTTCAGAGATCGTTCGACACTCTCAAATAAAAATTTTTAGACAGTTTTTTCTATATGTTTATTAGTTTTAACTAATCTAATTATTATATTTAAAATGATTCATTAATTAAAATTAAAATTATTATTTTTAGTTCTAATAAAGTATTTTAATATTTTTATCTTTAAATTTTGTATAAATGAAAATTTCATTTTTATTTTATTCACATATCATTTTATTTATTTGTTATTTCATTCATATATCCAGCAATGGAATTAATTTAATTCCCTTTAATAAGTACTGAAGGATTATTAAAAATCAATATAGCTGGATATTGAGTTTCGAGCAATAAAAGTACAAAGGAAATCCCTTTATTTCTCTAAATTTTTATATATATATTATTAATTAAAATATTTGTTGAAAGATTAAAAATTTATAAAAAATTATTATCAATTTTATAATAGTTAATTCAATAATAATTAATATACATTAATTAATATAAAATGCCAATGTATTCAGGCCCTCAATTTAATATATTTTATTGAAATTATGTTAATTAGATATAAAAATTAAAAATAAAATAAATTTTGTAAAAAAAAATGTTTAAGAAAAGTCACTGGTCGAATTATTATTTTGCAGAATTTTCATTAAACCGTTTTCTCTATATTACAGATTTTTTTTTTTATAATCGAAAATTCACTTCACAGAATTTTTATTTGCTTGAATTTTCATTTAACATAATAGCCATTTTAATGAATTTTTTATTAAGTAGAACTTAATTGCATATAATTTTCTTTTATATGAATTCAACCAAATAAAATTCGTCTCAATTCAATTTATATATTTATTGAAATTCTATTAAATGAAAATTCTAACGATTTTTTGAACTTATTCAAGTGTCCCGATGTTTTTTTCACATTACTAGATATATATTTCACATCATATATACTTTTATTTGATGTGTAATAAAATGAATAGTCAATAAAACTCAATAATGGTCCATTTTTGGAATCTGATCTCTAATACAGTGTTCTACCCTAACTTTTAAGGGATGGTATACATATATGGTTTATAGCTATATAAAGGTTGCTTGATAGTTAACAAACTACATGTACTTCGAAGTCGTAATGGGGTATTCGAATTACTGTTACAATTCATTAAGCTCAAATTGCAGAAGTGTAATTTGTGCAATGGGGATATAGAGAATTTTGGGTAATGGAATGGACAAACTGGCTTAGCGCGCACATTCAACTGTGGAATGAGAATATGTAACACTTCGAATTTCGAAAATTAACTTTCCGTTTCTATCGAGACTGATTCTTGTAATTCATATACATAATTTCAAAAATCGTAATACTAACAAAATTTTAATTATCTTTAAAAATATAGTAGATTATTCCTTCAAAAAAAAAAAAAAAAAAAAAATTGAAAAAGATTTAATTTTAGAAATGAGAAACTCGTTTCATATAAATCCAATATATAACCAATGAACCAGCGCGCTTTTAATTTAATGCAAAAAATTAAAAGTACAATTTTCTCTCGCAGGTGGTGCAGACGAAAGAGATGAATTATGTCCCTCGATGTACAGTTTTCACAGTTCTCTTGAAGAAAAAAATCAACTTCTTTACACACTAACGCGATATGGAATTGAGACGACAGTTGATCGTTCAAAAAAGAAGGACAGAATTCGTGAATGGATTCAATCAAGTGCAATAGTCGAGGAAAATGAAGATGAATCTGAACTCGAAGATTTCGATGAGAACGATGAGGATGAAGAAATTGAAAAAGAAGAGGAAAATATGAAAGGAAGACATTTTCCCGAAAGACGTTTAAGTGTCGATAAAAATATGAGAAAAAACAATAAAGTAACAGTAAAAAATCAACAGATTATAAGAAAAAATGGCAATGATATAAATCAAAAAATTCGTATCAATCGAAATGAATTATTAAATAAAAATAATTATTTAATTTCATTATCGAAACCAATTGAGAGAAAAATTCCATTTGCCCCTCAAGTTGCTGAAGAGAGAAAAATTGTCGCTAAATTTGCAAGTTTCCCCAATGGAGATCCCACATTGGCCTATCAAGGGAATGGGGTCGATTCAACTATTGATACGACGAGACTCGCCGGAAGTCAGTCGCCAATAAATAAATCGAACTCCGAGTTCAGCGATTTAACTATCTCCAATGTCAAAGGTTATCCATTTAATAATGAGCAATTGAGGAAAATTGCCACTGACTCGTCGAGTAGCAGCGATAAGGAAACAATTAGGTTCGTTGCGCATTTGTTTTTGATTTTGTTTTATACAGGGGAAAAGTAAGTTAATTAATAAAACATTCATTTAATTGGGAACAGCGGCAGTGATGTCATAAAACAAATACGACTATAATAGAAGTGAAAAACCCTTTTTGTTGTCAAAGCAAAGGAAGCGAGTATAGTTTTTGAAATAATTGATAAATTCATTAAAATTAAGACCAACTCTTTTAACGTAATTGTTAGAATAATATTTTTATTATTTTTTCTAATATCCATTTATTCTGAAATCTAAGAAAATTGCAAAATTTAGAAAAGATATTCTTTTGGTTCCTTTTTAAAAAAGGTTAAAATAAATAACAAAAATAATTTGTTTAAATAATTATTGAAATTTTAATCTACCAATATTAAGGGGTCTACCCACTTTAGACACGCTAAAATGAAGGCTGTTTTCAAGAATTTTTCTAATTGGTTTATATTATAAATATTGACATATAAGTTGTTAGACTAAAGAAATACACTTCCGAAATACATGAAAAAATTTTTGTTATTTGTTTTTTTAAAATTTTATATGCATGCAAATGGTAGTTGAAAAAAAATCCCCCAAAAACGATGGGTCCACGCTGTTGATGAAATCTCTGACATGGATTGTCCGAAACCAAAAAATCAAAAAGTTTTGGATTCAGTGTGGTAATAGCTATTGCGCATATCAAGGGATTTTTTATTTTTGCAAAATTGACAAAATGGAGGACATTTTTCGAAAAATTAAAGAAAACCGTGTGTTAGTTTTTTCGAAAAATGTCCGCCATTTTGTCAATTTTGCAAAAATAAAAAATCCCTTGATATGCGCAATAGCTATTACCACACTGAATCCAAAACTTTTTGATTTTTTGGTTTCGGACAATCCATGTCAGAGATTTCATCAACAGCGTGGACCCATCGTTTTTGGGGGATTTTTTTTCAACTACCATTTGCATGCATATAAAATTTTAAAAAAACAAATAACAAAAATTTTTTCATGTATTTCGGAAGTGTATTTCTTTAGTCTAACAACTTGTATGTCAATATTTATAATATAAACCAATCAGAAAAGTTCTTGAAAACAGCCTTCATTTTAGCGCGTCTAAAGTGGGTAGACCCCTTAATGAGCTTCGAAAGTTGGAAAATCAAAAAAAATCAATATATAATTAATATTTTTTTTCTTATGAAAATAAAATTAATAATTAGTAATTAATTCAATAAAATTATTATTACTTTCTTTAAAATTTTTTAATTTTAAATTAAGGTATTGTGGGAAGAAGACAATTTATAGAATTCTCAAATTTTTTCTAAAATGTAAAAAGATTTGAGATTAAATTTTTGAGGAATGTTAGAGAAGGGTTCAAAGAACATCGCTAGTCTACTCATTTACTATAATTTAACGTAAAAATGATTAAAAAAAAGCAGTAAATAGTAAAGTAATGTGTTTTCTAGTTCATTCATTGACCACTAGCTCGCAATGGCGCTGCTACCTGGACCACTCACAAACTCACGTGACGCCATTTTTGTTGTTATTTTTTGTTCAAAAATGTGACTTAAAACTTAGTTTTTAAAATAACACTAGTTTACAAAATTTAAATAATTTGTTGCTGAATACGAATATCAAGTCAAATATCAAGAAAGAACATTTTTGAGATATAGCTAAATTTTAATTTTATGAGTTTCGAAAAAAGTGGGTTCACTAATTTGCAATTATCTCCAGATGTAGCTGACCGATTAAAATTTTTTTTAATTAAATATAATTAAATTACTTATAAAAAAGTATTTTTATACTTCTAAATTTTTTTTTCAAATAATGAGAAATTCCAGACAAATTCATAAATAGCTCCTAAACTTTCAGTCTGAGTAGAAAATGTTATAAATACTTTTGTATAAGAAATTTAATTACCTTTAATTTGCTTTAAAGAAAAGTGAAATATGTCAACTACATCCGGAGATAATGGCAAATCAGTGAATCCACTTTTTTCGAAATTCAAAAAATTAACAGTTAGCTGTGTCTCGAAAATTGCTCTTCTTTCTCAATGTCTGACTTAATATTTGGATTCAGGAGCAAATTTCATGAAAACAACAAGGTGCATCATCATCTCCGAAAATTTTAGCCAAAAATCTATATTATCATTTTAGAAGATGTTTAATTTTTTGCAAAACACATTTTACCTTACTAGATCAGGTGGGAATTTCTCACATGGTCTTCAAAAAAAAACTTTTTAAAACATACTTTTTAAAATTGTAAAATTTGATTTCACTGTATTTATGTACCATTCCGCAGTCATTCTCAATTTAATGAAGCAGTGGTCAGTCATCATGAGCCAAGCGGAACTTCAAGCGAGGCTTCCGGCTCTATTCGTGGTCCAAGTTTAGAGTCGTCGACTTCGAGTCCAGCAGTTGAAGAAGCGATTATTGAACATCCTATATCTAGAAGTCCTCAGGCGCCAGTCAGAAAGCATCGTTCGCAAACGGCTCCATTTCCGGCGCCAGTTTCTCATCTCGATGGAAGTCGAATCGAATCATTGCCAGCGAGACGAACACGATCTGCAACGGTTCTACAAATCGCTGCTGATCAAAAATTAAATGGAAAATCACAGTCAATGCAAAAAAAATCATCAAACACTCATCTTACAATGACTGCAACTTCACAACTTGTTCTACAGAGTTTTAATGCTATGCAACATTTAAATCAGGTATAGACGAAAATATGGGTTTTAATATTTTTTTTTTTAACACAACACATAAAGATATAGAAAAAATTAGTTTTAAACAAATTTTTAAAAGATCTATAGTTCGCGGAAAGTGCGATCTAATTTCGCGAAATCCGTGATTTAATTTTTCCGAATCCGCGAGATATTTTCACGAACTCGGTAATTTAGTTTTAGGGATTCCGTGATTTGATTTTACAGAATCCGCGACATACATATTTTAACAAAATCCGTGATCTGATTTCGAGGAAAATGTGATCTATTTTCGTGGAATCCGTGATTTAATTTTTCAGATTCCGCGACATATTTTCATGAAATCCGTAATCTAGTTTCGCGAAATCCGTGATTTGATTTTGTAGAATCCGCGACATATTTTAAAGAAATCTTCGATCTAGTTATGAGGACGTGATCTATTTTCGCGGAATCCGTAATCTTCTTTCCAGAAATGAGTGTTCGAATTTGGCAAAATCTGTGATTTAATTTTGTAGAATCGGCGACATAATTTCACGGAATCCATGATCTAGTTTTGCTTAAAGCGTGATCTATTTTCGCTGAATCCGTGATTTAATTTTGCACAATCCGCGACATTTTTCATGAAATCCGTAATGTAGTTTCGCAGTATTTGTGATCTAGTTGCAAGAAATACGTGATTTAATTCGCGGAAATCCTTAATTTCATTTTGCAGAATCAGCGACATTTTTTCATCAATTTCGTGATCTAATTTCCCATAATCCGCGACCTAGTCTCCCACTATTCGTGATCTAGTTTCGCGAAATTCGTGATTTAATTTTGCAGAATCCACGACATATTTTCACTAAATCCTTGATCTAGTTTCAAGGAACGCGGAATCTAATTTCGCAGAATCCGTGACCACGCTTGAAGCGTGATCTGGTTTCACGTAATCAGTGATATGACTTTGTAGAATCCGCGACATAAGTTAACGAAATTCAAGATTTAGTTTCGAGGAAAGCGTGATCGAATTTCGCATAATGCGTGATCTAGTTTTGCTTAAAGCGTGACACTTTTTTCATGAAATCCGTGATTTAATTTCGCGGTATACGTAATCTAGTTTTGCGATATCCGTGATTTGATTTTGTAGAATCCGCGACATATTTTAAAGAAATCTGCGATCTAGTTATGAGGACGTGATCTATTTTCGCGGAATCAGTAATCTTGTTTCCAGGATAGAGTGTTCGAATTTGGCAAAATCCGTGATTTAATTTTGTAGAAGATGCGACATAATTTCACGGAATCCATGATCTAGTTTTGCTTAAAGCGTGATCTATTTCCGCGGAATCCGTGATTTACTTTTGCACAATCCGCGACATTTTTCAGGAAATCCGTAATGTAGTTTCGCAGTATTTGTGATCTAGTTGCAAGAAATACGTGATTTAATTCGCGGAAATCCTTAATTTCATTTTGCAGAATCAGCGACATTTTTTCATCAATTTCGTGATCTAATTTCCCATAATCCGCGACCTAGTCTCCCACTATTCGTGATCTAGTTTCGCGAAATTCGTGATTTAATTTTGCAGAATCCACGACATATTTTCACTAAATCCTTGATCTAGTTTCAAGGAACGCGGAATCTAATTTCGCAGAATCCGTGACCACGCTTGAAGCGTGATCTGGTTTCACGTAATCAATGATATGACTTTGTAGAATCCGCGACATAATTTAACGAAATTCGAGATTTACTTTCGAGGAAAAGATCTGATTTGATTTCGCATAATCCGTAATCTAGTTTTGCTTAAAGCGTGATCTATTTTCGCAGAATCCGTTATTTAATTTTGCACAATCCGCGACACTTTTTTTCATGAAAGCCGTGATATAATTTCGCGGTATACGTAATCTAGTTTCGCGAAATCTGTGATTTGATTTTGTAGAATCCGCGACATATTTTAAAGAAATCTGCGATCTAGTTATGAGGACGTGATCTATTTTCGCGGAATCAGTAATCTTGTTTCCAGGAAAGAGTGTTCGAATTTGGCAAAATCCGTCATTTAATTTTGTAGAAGATGCGACATAATTTCACGGAATCCGTGATCTAGTTTTGCTTAAAGCGTGATCTATTTTTGCGGAATCCGTTATTTAATTTTGTAGAATCCGCGACACTTTTTTCATGAAATCCGTGATTTAATTTCGTGGTATACGTAATATAGTTTTGCGAAATCCGTGATTTGATTTTGTAGAATCCACGACATATTTTCACTAAATTCTTGATCTAGTTTCAAGGAACGCGGAATCTAATTTCGCAGAATCCGTGACCACGCTTGAAGCGTGATCTGGTTTCACGTAATCAGTGAAATGACTTTGTAGAATCCGCGACATAATTTAACGAAATTCGTGTTTTAGTTTCGAGGAAAGCGTGATCGGATTTCGCATAATCCGTGATCTAGTTTTGCTTAAAGTGTGATTTATTTTCGCGGAATCCGTTATTTAATTTCGCGGTATACGTAATTTAGTTTCGCGAAATCTGTTATCTAATTTTGCAACATTCAGGACTTAGTTCCACTTGAAATGTGATTTAGTTTCGCGGAATCCGTGATTTGACATTGTAGAATCTGCGACATATTTTAACGAAGTCCCTGATCTAGTTTCGCGGAATCTGTAATCTAGTTTCTAGGAGAGCGTGATCTAATTTTTCGGAATTTGTGATTTGATATTGTAGAATCCGCGACATATTTCGACGAAATTCGTAATCTAATTTCGAGGAACGCGTGATATAATTTCGCATAATCTGTGATCTAGTCCAAAAAGAATTGAAAGAGCTACTTTTTAGTTTTACAATTTTAAATTGGAAAAATTTGTTCTCGCAGTTTTTATTTGTAGTTTAAAGAGCAAATGAAGAAGCTTATAAACACCTTTTCCATTATCAGAATTATATTATTATTATCATTTTTTTTTTTTTTTTTTTTATTGTAATATTCAAACAAATCCTAAAATCCGATTCATATAGAATTATTTATTTCATGAATATTGTAAAAAGCGATCCAATTTAGCCCTCATGCTGTTAAAGTAATAGCGTTTTTCACTCGACTACACCTGTTGCAATGAGCGCGTAAGTTTGAGCCAGAAACGTTGCTTTAAATTACGCTTCACGAACGCGAGAGAAATAAAATGAAAAATTCTATTAGAAGTACCAAACACTCCACGCAATGAAGGTGTTTGTTTAATGTCTAGAGTGGAAAGCAAAAGCTCGCTATTAGGAAATTAAAATCACCAACAAATAAATTATTATCTCATACCTATAGAAAAGAAAAAAGAGGTAGAGAAAATTATTTTTTTTTTTTGTTATCATTTTATAGTGTCAATTTTTCATATTTTTAAAGCAGCAAATATTATTATTATTATTAGTTTCAGTGGCTAATAATGTTATAACATTTACCATTTTACTCATATAGTAATATGTAAATATTTTTTTTATATTATAAATGTAACTCATGTCATATATTTATATTATAGTGAAAAAGTGATGTTATTAAATTTTTTTTCTCCTTTTCAGACACCCAAGGCAATAAAGTCCAATAGCAATGAAAGAAGTTTGAATCGTGAAAAGTCGAGTGTAACTTATGGAAAAGACGCTTATGAACATTATGGAATTGCGCAAGGTGCTATTGCAAAATCAGATATCAAAAGAGGAGGTGGAGGAGGTTCAAATAGTGGAAGTGGAAGTAGATCAGTTAGTAATTGAATAATTCAAGTGATTTATTATATAGAAAATTTCCAAAATGAGAAAAATTTTTATTGATTTTCCATAGATTTTCATATTGTTTTGAGAGTGAAATAAATATTGTTGTTTTGATTTTTTTCAATTCTTTTGTTTTTGTCTATATTTAATTTTATTGATTAGTTTTTAATAGTTATAAAAAATTTATGCTGAATTCTTGATATAATTTTGAAATTAATTTATAATTTTCTACTTGATGAATTGTGTAATCATAATATACATATATATAATACTATATATGTATATGTAAATGGACTCTAGACATTAATATATAAATAATACTGGAACAAAAAATTTTTTTTTGACTGAGAAAATCAATTATATGATTTTTTAAATTAATTTTCATACTTGGCTTTAATTAGTTCTTCACGATAGAACAAAGTTTATTGACTCTATTTAAAGATAAAATGGTAATAGTTTATAGTTTTATATTACTGAGTAGAAAATGAAAACAAAACTTTTTTTGGGAATAAGAGAGAGATAGAGGGAGACAGAGAGAGCACAAATAATTTAGTGAAAAAAGTGCAAATTTAATATTTAGGTGGGACAAAATTTTTGTGCTTCGTGAAATATTAAGTAGAAAAAGAAGCTGGAAGACAGACTGTAAATATTCATTCGTTTAAAAGTTTAAAAAATATTCGTTGTAGAAAAAATTGTCTGTATTTAACCAAGTTTTGAATTTTATATGTAAAGAAAAGTTTGGGTTTTTTTTTATAATTTCTCAATAAAGAAGATCCCATTGAAAGTTTGGTTTTTATAGATAGTCAAATCAAAAAAAAAAATTGTATATATAAAATAAATATTTCCATAAGAAATTTTTTATGGGAAAAAAAATTATAAACCAAGAGTATTATGTAAAATTATTATAAAAATTATTTATAATTAAAATATGTAATATAATATTTTGTTGTATATGATATATTAGGATATTAGTTTATATTAGTGGATATATTATATTATATTGTTAAGAAAAATAAAAAGATTTTTATTTGAAATAGCTTAAATATTTATTGCAATAAATATTATAACTTAATATCACTTATTTATCACTTCTTTAAAGTATAGAAATATAGTTATTTACAATAAATCTATTGCTTTTTATAATTTTATAGCTGTGAATGTTTAAGCTGTTTCACAGTTTATGGATGAATCAGATAGACAGACAAAACAAAAGTTAGTTCAAATTTCAAATTTTTTTTTAAATTTAAAACTGTAATTGTCTACTTTTAACAATGTAAATAGGGACCCATGATAATAATAATAATAATAATCTATTTAAAAATCATTAATTAGAATTTTCATTTCATGAAATTTCATTTATCATAATTATTTTTGAACCGAATTTTTATTTGTTCGAATTATTATTGTTTTGCAGAATTTTCATCAAAACAATTTTCTATATTACAGAATTTTTATATAACCGAAAATTCACTTTACAGAATTTCTAATTGATAGAATTTTCATTTGTTCGAAATTGCAAATGGCCGACAGAAAGAATTCGGCGCAATATTTAAAATCAACCAATCACAATTTTATGGATAATTTTTGATTGGTTAATTTTCAAAATTGCGCCGAAATATTTCTCTCGATTGTTTGTTCGGCCATTTGCAATTTCGGACAAATAAAAATTCTATCAATTAAAAATTCTGTTAAATAATTTTTCGGTTAAGTAAAAATTCTGTGGTATGAAAAATCGGTTATATAGAAATTATGTCAAATAATAATTCGAACAAATGAAAATTCATCTGAAAGAATAAAATGAAAATTCTATGCAATGAAATTCTATCCAATAAAAATTCTTTAAATAATATGTTAAATAAAAATTCTGACAAATAAAAATTCGAACAAATAAAAGTTTTGTGATGTGAATTTTCGGTTATATAAAAATTCTGTAATATAGAAAATCTTTTTGATGAAAATTCTGCAAAATGTTAATTCGAACAAATAAAAAGTTGGCTCAAAAATAATTATGACAAATGAAATTCCATAAAATGAAAATTTTAACTAATTATTTTTAGAATATAATAAAGCGTATCTTCAAATAATTAAAAATGTCATTTGAATATAAAAGTTTCTTTACCATAAGAAACAATTGTTAATTTTTAGGTAAAACATAAAAAATTAAATTGTTTACATGTACACTGAAACGCTTTTTTAAAATTATTTTTTCATTTAAAGATTTCAAATTAGAAAATTGAATGAACTTTTGTCCCGATATTTTTTATCTAATTTCTTCCGTAATCTTTTTCTGTATACATATTTATATATAAATATAGTTGATTTCTCCATGACAACAAAATATTCTTATTTTTCATTAATTCGTAAAAAAAATTACTTTCAAAAATATATAGAATAAATCATTTGTTAAATATAATGCACTTGAAAAATTATATTATATAAAATTGTATTTAATGTTGTATAAATATAGAACTCTTAAATAAAATTTACAACTTATTTTCGTGTAATTTAGTCAATTAAAACCATTGAACGAAAAAAAATCTATTTTTATAATTAGTATAGATGACAATTTTTTTTTATAATTAATAATTATCACGAAATGATTTATTATTCGCTGATAACCCTTTTTATGTGGGGGAGGGAGGTAAATAATAAGTTGATTACTTTAATTTCGTATATATGTATATATATACAAAATTGCAAAAACACTTATTCTGAAGGGTCTATATAGAGAAATGTGACACGCAAGACGAAAGTAATTACATTGGAGCGTAAGTACGTTCAGAATATGTAACATAATTAAGAGGTAAGCACAGATCATGAACGAGACATAATTTAATTTTACTTAACCCTGAAAAGTGCAAAGTGCACTTTAGTTAGATGCTGTGATAATTTTAATTATGGGTCAAACCATTATATTTCAACTAAAGTGGTCGCTGACTAATTTTTAAAAATTATAATACTTTGCAGGAATGATTTTGAAGTTATCAAGATCACGAAATGAAAAGAATTTTATTAAAAATTTAAATATTTATTGTAAAATATGAATTTAAAGTATATGAGGTGCTAAAAACTGTCAATTTTTTAGCCATTAGAAAATATGCAAAAAAACATAGAATTTACCATAAAAATAAAAAAAAATTATTGGAATTTACTAAGAATGAATAAATTTATCATTATCAATTGATATAATTATTTAAAGATGTGAAGTAATATATAAAATATGATTTCCAAGTGCACCTGTCAAATAACCTAATTTTGCGATTTTTATTCATTAATTATAAAAAATAGAAAACATTAAATTAAATAAAAACTTACCAAATATGAAGTTCTTGCCATAAACTTTTAGAATTTCTTTGCACTTTTCTTCTTTTCTATTCATAAGTATGAAAAATTTAAAAAATAAAATAGCTACTTTGTCTATTTTCACTATTTTTGAAAGTCAATAACTTTCTTGGAGAAAAATGAAAAAATATGGGGTTTCGAAAATTATTTAAATACACACTACATATACATTCACTGAAAATTTCGCATTGGTCCCGAAGCTATTTTCGAAGATAAAGTAAATTAAAAATTTCGTATTTTTTAGGCTATATTGACATGGATTTTAAATCAATGTGAAGGTGGTTCACTGGTGACGACAAACTTCACATTGATTTAATACCTTTAAAACCCATGTCAATATAGCCTAAAAAATACGAAATTTTTAATTTACTTTATCTTCGAAAATAGCTTCGGGACCAATGCGAAATTTTCAGTGAATGTATATGTAGTGTGTATTTAAATAATTTTCGAAACCCCATATTTTTTCATTTTTCTCCAAGAAAGTTATTGACTTTCAAAAATAGTGAAAATAGACAAAGTAGCTATTTTATTTTTTAAATTTTTCATACTTATGAATAGAAAAGAAGAAAAGTGCAAAGAAATTCTAAAAGTTTATGGCAAGAACTTCATATTTGGTAAGTTTTTATTTAATTTAATGTTTTCTATTTTTTATAATTAATGAATAAAAATCGCAAAATTAGGTTATTTGACAGGTGCACTTGGAAATCATATTTTATATATTACTTCACATCTTTAAATAATTATATCAATTGATAATGATAAATTTATTCATTCTTAGTAAATTCCAATAATTTTTTTTTATTTTTATGGTAAATTCTATGTTTTTTTGCATATTTTCTAATGGCTAAAAAATTGACAGTTTTTAGCACCTCATATACTTTAAATTCATATTTTACAATAAATATTTAAATTTTTAATAAAATTCTTTTCATTTCGTGATCTTGATAACTTCAAAATCATTCCTGCAAAGTATTATAATTTTTAAAAATTAGTCAGCGACCACTTTAGTTGAAATATAATGGTTTGACCCTTATACATTAATGTTATAAAAATTAAAATTTGTCTTTGAATAGCAAAATTATTTATATACCTGGCAATTTAATAAAAAAATTTTTTTTACAAATAATATATAATTATAAATAAATAAATAATTGTTGATTAATTAGAATTAATTTTTTAATTATACATTATTATAATATATTATTTATTAAATTAATTTGAGAATAAATTATTGAAATTGTTAGTAAATGTTATTAAGAGTAAAAGTGAAGTAAAGTGAATTTTACAAAGTGGACGATATTCTATGTTTAAAGAGGATGACTTCGCTCAATGGAATATTAATTGAATTCAAACTTTAATTAACGAAAGAGGCTCTTCTACATAGAAATTGAAAGAGAGATATATAGATAGAGAGGAGTGTGAGTTCTTTTGACAAACAAAATAGACTTTGAATTTATTAAAGTCGTAAGATTATTTTAATTTAGAATTATTTAACATATCAATAAAGTATATTTTTAGATACTGTATATTTATTGGTGATTAAATGAAACAAAATATCAAATTCTAAAAAATGTCATTTTTGATACACTTGATATTCTGTAATTTTAAATAAATTTAAAAAAAATTTATTTAAATATTTAAAGTAGGGGAATAGTGTCAGGGTTGAACACAGTTTTGGTTTTTTGTTTATAAATATTTTGTTTAGATAAATTCGGTCAATTGTGGTATATGGGTGGAAAGATCTACAAAAGAGGAACACTTTTGCTGTGGATCGTAAATTGATTCGTCCAAAATTAAAAAAGTTATAAACATTTAAAAAAAATCTAGTCAGGGTTGGACACTTTTTGAAAATCGAAACGCATTATTGGTAAAAACGTAAAATAACATTTGTAATGTTTTTTATTCTTATTTTTTAATGTTTATCTTTACTTATTGTTTACAAATTGTAAAGCTTCATGGGTTTAAAAAAGGAATGAACTCAAATTACAAAAAATAACACTTTATTGTTCCAAGTAACTCAATGAAATGATGAACAGAATTTATACAATTTAAGTATTATTTTTCTAATATCTTTGGCACAATTTTGCACTGAAATATCAATAAAATAAAATTTATAATTATTTATTTATTTAAAAATTGTGTCAAATTCATAATTAATATGGGTGTCCAACCCTAACTGTATAAAGTGTCCAACCCTAACTAGAAGCATCATTTTCGAAATGTGCTAACCATAACCAGACATGTGTCGCGATTCGATTTTTCACTTTTTTTCTTCTTAAATTATGTACTCCACAATACATTCAATAAGCTTATCTTGCCGAATTCTTGCTTTTTTTTACACATTTTTTAGGTTTATTCACAAGTCAAACAAAACTTTTTTTGTCTCTTCGATTGCACCGATGTCACAGGAGACGCTACTTTTGATTCTCCAAAAATGTAATGCCACAAAAAGTTAGGTTACACTACTAGAAGATTCGTCACGTACGCACACAGGTGGCGCTAGTGTTCTTATTTAAAAAAAGCCAAGTGTCCAACCCTGACACTATTCCCCTAATATGATTATTTTATTTTTTGTATTATAATATATATATATATATATATATATATATATAAATATATAAAATCTACATTTATTATTCAGGCAAAATTTCGAAGAGTGAAAGGCTATATACGACCCATAAGAATAAAGTGTAGCTCATGATCGAATGTTTGCTAAAGCAATAAAGTGCCAATGAAAATTAATGAAGCGACAATTGGTGTTAATGGAGGACCAAGACATCACCCCTTTTTTTGAGGCCATACAGCCAACCTTCCCGTATCCTCAATTTTCGGTGTTTGTGTTCCAAGTATTATATATACATATTTATGGTTCACTCAAATGAAAATTGTTTGCGACATGAACTTCCGATAAAATTATTTCCAGCTGGCACGTATATTCATATATATACCTATATATATATATATATATATATATATATATATATAT